GCCAATGTAGATGCAGCTGTAAGTCTCCATTTTATCTTATAATAACGCTCTCAAGCTGCATCTAGTTTGCAGCCTTTAAAAAAAAGTTTTACCAGTGATATACATGTTCCAGTACGTGGTTCTGACAAGCAATATGACACTTTTAATCCAAAATCTCTCGCGCGTATATGTTTACATTTGGAGAATGGTATCTGAAATGCTTATTATATTTCACCAGAGTTTAGTCAAAAGTGGGCTGAGTGACTCTAAGGGAGAACATCACAGTGTCAAGGCCAAGGGAAGTCTTTATCCAGGAGGGGCTGGAGATAATAAAGGCAATAGTTCAAAATCAACTTTTAAAATAAGTAAACATCTTTTTATTCAGATGTACAGTATTGGCAACCTTTTTCGGTAAATTGTGTGGCCAAGAAGTATTGAGAAACATTTCACAAGGGGAAGAAAGGATTGCACTGAGCAGGTTGTTGATAGAATATCTGTCTACCTTATATTCTGCAGAAAGAATGGAGGGACGATCCTAAAGGAATTTTTAAGAAAAAGGTAGCACGCTGTGTCCGGAGGAGTCAAGACATGGCTTATGACTAAGGCTTTTCCTACAGCCATCAACACAGTAAGTACTATTTATAAAAAAACAGTTACTTGCTGTTGCTACTCCTCAGGGTGCTGTTATTTTATTAAGTGTGTTTGTTTTGTTTCAGATTGGAACTGCACAAAGGATTTGACAACTGGTTACACTTAAGATGGCTAAATGATTCCAGGACTTAACTTTGTCGACATCAACTAGTCCCGGAAACAAAAAACAGACTCGCTGGAAAAAAAGTTAATGTTCTCATATTTCTCAATTAATTTCTGTCCTGCAGTTCGATGGTTGATATTTATGAATTTCGCTGAAGGGCATTGGCATTCAGGCTGCAAAATTTTCAATTTTTCACCATCAGTTGAAACGGTTTCTTGTCAAGCATCAAGATTTCTCTCACAGGAAGATGAATTATACAGCCTCGTTCTTTCTTTTTGTATATACTCATCAGATGTCTAGGAAGAAACCCCTTTAAAATGCTCCATTTTGTTAAAATAGTTTACTTGATATTTACCTATTTATTTAGAGGGGCTGTTTTAGGATGCATATGGGAGGTTTTTTGTTTGTTTTCACCCTGCCCCACTGAGCCATCCAGTCTACAGTGATTTCATCAATTATGCAACTTTGCAGTCGTTAAAGAGATGGAAATACGGACACTGGCTCTTATTTCCTGGAAGAGTTCTGCAAAGAAAGTGTTCCTTCTCTCCCTGGGGGGCAAACATATCACCCGGCGCTGCCTTAACTTTGACTGCCAGCGAAGGAAACTTATCGTCAATAAGGACTGCATCTGAAAGCTTGTTTGGAATCCAGAAAATAACATTGTGGACAAACCAAAGAGAATACACCAATAAATATATTTTTAATGAACGTGATGCATTGTTTTACTTTGGATGTAAACTGTTTGTCCTCATCTGTACAAGTACAGCAGCACTTTAATAGCCATTTATACAGAAGACATTTTGACAAGTTTCAATAATTGAGCCATTGTTTGTTATTTGTTAAACCTTTCCCTTCTGTGATTAGTCGATATGTCTGCTGTGGTGAAGGCCTATACCAAAATAATCTACCGGTCTAATTTGAATAAATAGTGATAAGCCTCATACAGAGCTACTCACTGTAAAAAGAATTTCAACTCCTTGAATACGTTCCTTGATCCGAGTGTGAAGTGCAATAAGAAGAAAAAAGCACCAAATTATATTCTAATCTCCATGAATGCTTTATTGAATTAAGCACCAGCTCAATATGGTCAACATCCAGACAAGTGAAGACATCTTCCCTAATGTTAAAGAGTATAAAATCATTTTATCAATGCAGAATCACAACCAACCCCCCCCCAAAAAAAAAAACCTTGATCCGTCTTGCAGGTGCAGAATCGAAACCTGAGTCCTGAGTTGTTCACTGTCCCGGGGCGGACAGACTTTTGTTCATGAACTGCCTTTTGACAAAGCACACCCACCACTGGAAAAAACAAAAAACTTGTGTTGAGAAAATGTCTGAAGGCACATTTTTTTTAAGCAAACAAGGCACCCTGTGATCTAATGGGCACAAAGAAACAGGAAACAGATTGTTTTGATTTGAGATGTTGGCCTCACCTTGCTGGGTTTGTCTGTCTGGGGGTCAAACACGCGATCACACAGCCTCAAGCCGGTCTCCTGGCGGAGCTGCTGGAGGTACGCTCTCATGGTCTCTGGAAAAGGTTGCAGAGGTTGTCACCACAGCCACTAACACCCTCCTTTACATTTTAACAAACACTTTTGCTAGTGAACATTTGATCTTTTACTGCTACATCAGAATTAGGAAGGAGTGGTTTCAAATGACTACTGTGTTTATTTTTGCAACCATTTTCTTTTGCCTTCTTCGGTTGTTTGATAGATTGTGGTTGGTGGTTTGCTGTGTATGTACTGACATGCAGTCCGCACGCAACAAATTAACTATTCTTGGAGGTGAGCTATAGAAAATACAAACCATGGGTATTTTGCCTAACTTGACAAGAAAGCTGAAACGATATATTGTGCAGCCTTAGCATAGATGTAAAGTCCCTGCCACAACAATTCTTGGATGATTCAATTTCCAGGCGCAATGTTTAAGATTGGGGTTGAAGGTTACCACAAAGGAAATGAAAAAAGCATTTCTAACTTCCTTTCAGCTGATGGAATTAAAGGAAATAATGCTAAGGGTATAAGGAAAGTGAAACAGCATTAGTTGATGGTGCTTGATCTTACCGTCCTCTTGCTTGTTTGCAGGCTTGACATACATAGCATTGAGAGGGAAGCCAGGTTCTCCAGGAATGGGGAAGTTAGTGATGCCCAGAGTGTACATCTCCTTCTCTCCCTGGCTCCTGGAGCTGCACTGTAAAGAGCAAACACAAGCCAATGCAAAGGGTTAGATCACCTGTGTTAGTAACACTATTGAAATAGGCATTCAAGCCACTCTGATTTACCACAAGTCTTTTAATTGATGCTACTCGTACCACTTTTTTATTAAAATCAGTTGGATTGCAGACATCTTCCTGTGTAAACATGAACAACTTACCTTCTGTAGCCTCTTTAGGCATTCAGAAATGTACAGTGTGACATAGATCAGCGTCCTGTCAGCCTCATTCTGAAAAACAAAATAAGATAAAATAAGATGGACCTTTATTAATCCCCGTGGGGAAATACAGTAGTTTAACAGCAACAGGGTAAGAAGGAAAAACAGGACAGCACAGATTAGAGATTAATAACATTAAAGATCAAATCAAAGATAAAAATAAAATGATATACAGGTAAGTAACCTTTAAAATAAGAAATGAATTAAAATGGTCATATATACATATTAAAATCACATTACCTGCTGAAATACTTTGAATTAGACTGAAAAAATTATTTTGTCTTAATGTTATTGTAAAGAAATTCCATAAAAGTTCCAGTCAGGTCTGCACAGCCAAGGGTAATGCAGTTTGAACCCAAAGCAAATATGCATTGCTGAGGGGAATGGGGAAAAGCATGCAAGCTGGGGCATGTGGAAGAACTAATTGCAGACCTGCTTTAGACAGACAGAGAGAGAGAGAGAGAGAGAGATGGGCAAGAGGAAACACATTCAGGAACAAGCACACCAGAGACGTACACACTTGTCCTTTCGCCAACAAAAATTGCCACTTATTTTCTTCCTCTTTTGCTTTGAAGAATATATAAAAGGCAGCAGAGTCCTTAGCTTTTATGCAAACAAATGTTCATGAACTTTAAATACTTGCTTACCTTGATTTCATAGTTCTTAAAGAAAACGTTGGCCTTGAAGTAGTAGATGGCCTCATCAACTATGTCAGTCTCCATGCCTAAAATGGACAAAAAAGTTTCAATAACTGAAAGGTTAATTTTAGATGTGTTTTATACAGACTGGATGGAAACCATGCCAAGTGACTAAGCAGTTTGAATATAAAATCCATTTCCAGTAACCTTTAAAGTGGCATACTAATGCACTCATCTAAAAAAATCAAGTAAATCATGGCCACACGAGGACTACCATACAAATATTCTGTTCTGTTGACAGCAGACAATGAAAAGCTAAAAGACATTAATGAAGAAGTGCAACTTAAGGATGCACTCTTCGGGCCATATATGGAAATGAGGGTAATGCATTTATCAGGAACTGAGGAAGGTGTCATAATAAGGTGACAAAACGTAGCAAAATAGCCATTAGAAACGATACATGTTTGTTTATGTAATCATGGGGGACTGGATCCACTTTATAATAATTAAAACGACCGTAAAAACTTACCGTCTCCTCTGGCTGGACCCTTGAACTGGGTTTTGATGGGAAGCAAAGCCATATTCCCCACCATCCTGGTGTCAGGGACCATCAGGCTCGAGTGATACGCCTGAAAATAAGAGAAAGGTGCTGTCACTAATATTTATTTTCCAGGTATATTTTTATCAGAGAGCATCAGTGACATCTCTGCTTCAGACCCATCCGCTCTTACGGCTATACTATCGCGACAACTAACGATGTATTTAATAGATACATAAATAATAACTAAGTAAGTTAGGTTAAAACCGTTAAATGCAATAATTCTGACTTGAAGAACATCAATAACATAGATAGCAAATGTTAGCTTAGCTAGCCAAATATGCTAACGAGACTCGTCACCATAGCTATCGTTTACTCGGAGGCCCTTGTCATCCAGTGGAGTTTATATGCATTCGTTTTGCTCTTAGCCTACAAAATACGCTTTTGCTCGTTAGTTATGGTGTAGGATTTACTCACCGGCATTTTGAGTGATAAATATCAGTCCAACTGCTCAGCGAAATAAAAAATACTAGCACTGCAGGACCCAGCTTCCGCCTGTCCCACCCTTCAGCTTTACAGGAAGTGGACACGTGTAATGTAGCGTACCGTCCACACGGGGGCGCTAGCACACCAGGTTAATTACACAGGAAGTCAAGTGGTATATTTTGTGTAATATTTTATTTAAAAAATATAGCATTTATAAATGTATTTAACAAAAACTTTTTTAAATAAAACGTTGTCTTGAAATAATGACACAAAAAAACTTCGGAACATAATATGAAGCAAGGTATTGATGATCTTGTGAGTCCGTTTTTCTGCCCATATCCTTTTTCTTATTTTGCTTGCAGTCATTATCATCTGGAATTGATATTGTGATTCCTGGTTCGTCTTCAGCCTCAAATGTTGTGTTCAACTCTAGTCTCTTTTTTTCCATGATTCTTGGTTTTGTACTAATCCTCAGGTGTCCCCTTTGCCTTGAAAAATCTCATCATAATTTAGGTCAGCCGACTCGTCATCAACCTCCTGTAGGTAAAAGGAAAGAATGGGAAAACAACAAAGGGAATCATTTAGTATATTAAAATATTAAGTATTGTAGTTTAAATCATATTGTTAAATTATGTTTGATATAGTTGTTTTGCTTGTTTCGTCACCTTGGGCTCCTTGAACTCCAGGTCCTCTCCATACTGTATTGAGAAGTCAATGCTTTGCAGTACCATGTTCATACCCTCCTCATCTGTGCGGTCAAAAGGCATGAATCTCACCATGCTATAATCATCAATCTGGACACACAGACAAAGAGAATGTCAAATTTAAGACGAAATTATAATCAAATGTTGTATCATATTAAAAGTATAGTTCAGTGATTTGAAGTGGAGTTGTATGAAGTACTGTACTGTAGTCAGTGTGTTACCTAGTTTTTAGAAAAAGACAGGAGTAATGGCATACAAGTACAACATGTGGTTCTGTGGATGGGGTTAGCAGCAACATTTATTTTAGCCACTGAAAAAAAGGTCATAATCAGATTAAAAGTAATGCCATCTTTGGAAAATGTTCACTGCCATCGGACGGGGAGCCGATATCAATGCTTACGACAAAAACAGTAATTTTACCTAAAGAAAAACATGGTAGCTGCTGCTCTATCGCTTCGTCAATTGGTTAATTTGTGTTAATGTATGACTTCTGTATTAAGGTTTAGTCATGCTGACCAATATATAATGTAGGTCATACACCAACTATGGTAAAGTACCTCACACAACTCCTTTTTCATTTAAGGGTGTCACTTACCAGACCACAAATGGCTTTGGTCAATTTTTTGAACTTTTTGCTCCTGATGTTATCTGAGGTATCTTCCATCATTGAGTACATGTCTGGGTCCAGGTACCTAGTGAAAAAGAAAGGGATACATAACTACAGGTGCTTCCAGATGAAAACGTTGAATTGATGAAAACACCAGACTTTTGTACTGCACCCGGTGTGAGACTTACTTTTCAATCTCCTTCTTGGCCTTGGGACTGAGCAGGTCCATTTTTGTCATGATGTTTATTTGAGGGATCTCTAACACCACCATGGCACTCAGGGCAGCCATGACTCCTGAGATGAACTGCAGTTAGAGAAGAGGGAAGATGTGAGACCTCATGGTTGCTGTTATAATTACATCAAGTGTACTTTAGTTCAGAACTGGCAAGGTCATCTGTCACCTTAAAAGTCTCCACCATGAACTGGGAGTCCACCAGGAAGACCCCGCACACCCGGAACTCCCACTGCTGGAGCTGCTCCACAAGCTGCTTCATTACAGGGAGGTGTGTGTACAGTTCAATCTGACCTGCAAAAAAAAAAAAGAAGAAACTGTGCTCAAGCTGTAAAAACATGGCTCCAGAACTAGGAGAATATAGTGCTTTCCGTGCCAAGGTGTTTACCTGGGCAGTCGAACAGTATGTAGTCATCCTCTACGTGACCCAGGCTTTCCCCCAGCCAGTCAAAGTTGTTGGCGAAGTACTCCATGCAGAATACCAGTCCTCCATTGGGGCCAAATCTGAGAGAGGGGTCCTCCATCACGTCATCCACCTGGATGAGCTCTCGGATGTCTGCAGACACAGAAACAATGAGGGTGCCGTACACAATAACACTAACCGTAAGTATACAACATGTGACAAAAAGTATTAAATGATATGAGTATTAAGTGATTCACAATATTTATGTATATACGGTATACTAAAGTCAATTAAATGAGCCTGTGTTGGAACCATACCCAGTTTATTGTTTTGTTATGCTTTTGTATTGATAGGATTACTGTGCGCATTGATGTGATCAAATTGTACTGTATCCTTGTTTAGTGTGTTGCTGTACAGTATGTGAACCAAGTCAACTATATATCTGTTATTAGAAAACAACTTCTTAAATCATAGCTTAAACCCATTAAATGCATGTAATAACATAACTCTTTAATCTCTACTTACTTTTTTGTAACCCTGTTGTGGGTTGTATAAGGCTACTTTATATAAGTACATGTAATGATTTTGTAACCTAAACATGATGTATTCACCTGCCATGACAGGGTAGTCAAAGTGCTCAGCTGCTGGGTCCAGGTTGACCACCTGAGCTGAGCGGTTCATGGATCCTAGATGCTGCAGCATGGTGGAGCAGTAGGTACTCTGAAATGTAACACACAATTCCAACAATAAACAGATACAAATAAACGATATGACTTGAACTTCATGTATGTGTATGACTAGACAATCTCATGCCTTAGCATAGCGCTTTAGCCGAATAGCATAACAAGGCATCTCAACACGTGTAACTGAGTAACTTACCTTCCCGCTTCCCGCGGGGCCAATCACGAGCTGTGCAAAACGAGGCATTTTGCCTCAGTGTGTTGTGAAAACGTTAAATCCCTTTAATCGTTAGCTGTCGATAGCTATAGTTTTTTTGGATTAATTACTGATTCCTTACTATTTCTTCTTCTTGTTTTTAGGGTCAGTCAAACCGGCTGTGAGCTGGTTATACTGGTCACTGCTGCCCCCTACTGGTGAGAGTGTGAAATAAAAATGAATTGGACAAAAGATAGATGGATGAATGTAGAACATGGTTTAACATATTTAACTTGTGTATGCAAATGAGCTCAATATTTTTGTATATAAACTGTAATATTAAAATGAATGCTCTTTTCAAGAAATGATATTGAATTGCTTCTCCAATAGAAACAAGTGACTAACCACCTGCTGACCCGTGGAGGGCGTTGGTTGCTAGAAACGTTGACAGCAGGTAATCCCAGAAGAAGAAGACGCAACTACCTGAAACAACATGCAAAACTGATTAAATCTGTCACCTATTGAAAGAGATTGTCTCAAGATTTAGGACCTTGAATGGACTGGACAAGTCTAGCCTTAAGAAAAAGCTGGATTTCTTGTTGGTATGTCATCGTCATGCGCCCTGTTGCATTGCAACGCATTGTAATGTAGTTGTTAGGCTACGTGTGCTGTACTGGATTGTGCTCTTGTGCCACACTCTTGGATAACCAAGTAAAAGGATAGCTATGTTTATGATTTAGCTACGAGCTATTATGGCCAGGTTAAGCTCGGATTTAGAAGACTCGGCCATTGGTCTATCAGTATGTAATAACGCTACCGTTAAGTTAGCTACTTTCCTATAGCGGATGTGCTAACATTAGCGAAACGACAACCCATTGCCATCAACGTCAGCAGTATTCATAAATATACTTACAACGTATTATTAGCGAGTCAATGCTACTCTGCGAGCTAACGCTAAACTAAGCTAGCTGTGTGGAATTTTGAGTTTATGGCAGACAGTGCTAGCTGATAATGTAAGCAAGATAAACAGCAACGACTTCCTTATATTGTGTGATCTTGGATTTTAGTGGTACTGGACATTTCACTAAAGGTAATTTATTGAAATGTATGATAGCTAGTTTGTAAGATGAGCTAACGTTAAGCAGCCTGCGAGACCCACTCCTTTTGTAGCTAGTTAACTTGTGTTGAAAGTACGTTATACTTCTAATGTTGCAAATACTAATAATGCAACTGGTTTTCATACCGTAGAAACACTGTCTAAGGAAATGCTAACCACTTTTTGTATCCATTTGGTTTAGTGTTGTAGGCTATGAGTGTGGGTGATGGAGGACAATGAATGTGGGGACTTGGACTACCTGGTCCATGATGAGGACACCTTCATTGAGGGTATCAGCAACCAGGTCTTATTTGTTGTGGTACTCACGATCACCTTCCTTGCAGGCCTGCTCACTCTGCTCTGCAGGTAAATTAATATACAAATTGGCCATGATGTTTATGTAAAGTAGGATATAAATGTGGTGTTTTGCATTAGCCTTCCAAATAAATTATCTAAAAGAAATGTCCTTGTTTGTTTGCCTTGCTTTGTGTGCTTTTACACTCATTATCTTCAGCTGGGGACTAATACAAAGACACTTTTCTAACCTTTGGCCTTCTTGCAGACAAGAGGAGCAGAACATTCATCCTGAGAATCAAGAGCATGTGCGAGCAGTGAGACAGCAGCTCCAAACAGAGCAGGTACGTCAGAAAATACAGCTCTAGCCTTTCTGCCAAAATACAGTTGACAAAGAAAGTCTAGAAACAACGACAAGACATGAAATGCACTTTTTATTTACCATTAATCGTACATGTTTCAAAGAAATTTGAACACAATTAATATATTTTGCAGGTAGGAAATAGGGTCATAAACAGACTGTATATAGAGATCATAAACTGCATGGTTTTGCAGGATTGTAAGCTGCTTTTATCTCAGTTAAAAATGTCTGTTTTTCAAAAGTAGATTCATTTTAAAATGGTCTGTTCTACCATTTGTCACATTTTAAACTTTCATATGTTTTTACTAAACTTAAATGTGTTTGCTTTTTCTGTCAGGATGAAAATTCACAGTCGGAGGCGAGGCAACAGTATTACACAGACATGTCTTGTCCTGTGTGTTTACAGCAGGCTGTACTGCCTGTAGAAACCAACTGCGGACACCTTTTCTGTGGTAAGACTTTAGTACTGATAATAGTAATATGAACTCAGCAAAACCAAGATGTTACATTATGAAACGAAGAAGAACAAGTGATGCAAATCAGTAATTGTCACTACTTAATTATATTTTCTTAGCTCAGAAGTAGACATTTCAAAACGATGAAAGCATAATTGAGAAATATATGCTTTAAAATAGATGTGACCTATTTTATTAGTATGTATGCAGTGTGATCATGTTGTCAAAGTGTTGTCTTTTCCCTCTTACAGGCTCCTGCATTATAGCCTACTGGAGGTATGGCACATGGCTGGGTGCTATTCACTGTCCCATCTGCAGACAAATGGTGAGACTTGTAATACATTCTGGATGTTTAACTTTTAACCTCAGCTTTTTATATGCCCATGTTTTAACTGCCAGACATACAGGTAGCTGTAAGGATTGCTTGCGCCCATTATGATACATGCTAAATGATTATCTATCTGGACTCATGTTTGTTGCTTAATCTGAAATACTTTACATTTTCAGTACAATTGTTTTCTGTTGGTTATTTTCACAATTACGGGTACACTGAGTTATTCTTTCTAATTGTTCAAATAGTTTCTAATTGTTTAAATCGTTTTATCAATGTAGGTGTGCACCACACATTTCCTCTTTTGGCATCGATATTTGTATGTTAAACATTTCTTCTTTCCTAGGTAACGCTGCTTTTTCCACTATTTCATGAGAACGCCGCTCCTCAGAGGGTCCAGGATGGCGAGGCAGAACCTCAGCTGATATTAAGAGACCTTAACGATTACAACCGCAGGTTCTCAGGCCAGCCAAGATCTGTGAGTATACAGCCAGATACATATTTAGGCTGCAGTAGTTACTGGTTAGCTAAGCATGCGTATTGTAAGTCGCTTTGAACCAAAGGTGTCAGCTAAATGTAAAGTAATGCTTGATAGCCAACAGTTCTTGAAATAGTAAAGTTCAAGATGCTAGTGCTGTTTTGAATTGTATTAATATTTCAAAAGCAGTCACTATTCTTCTCAATATTAAAAAACAACAACACATTTCTTATAAATTCCCTGCACACCATGGGTTTGCTGGTAAAAGATACACATGTGCAAATGAGATACTGAGCAGTATAGTCCAGGGAGCATATTTAGAACTCCTTTCAATATTTTCTCTCCTCTTTTCTTCTCAGTACATGGACAGGCTGCGCGATGTGCCCACTCTGCTCCGCCACGCATTTAGGGAGATGTTCTCTATGGGTGGCCTCTTCTGGATGTTTAGGATACGAATTATTCTCTGCCTAGTGGGAGCGCTCACCTACCTGGCATCGCCGCTCGACATCATCCCAGAGGCGCTTTTCGGTCTGCTGGGATTCATGGACGACTTCTTTGTGATCCTACTTCTCTTTGTGTATATCTCTATCATGTACAGGGAGGTGGTTACACAGAGACTGTATGGCTAGGTGCTCAAAAGACGCCTGTGCTTGGTGCGGGAAGAGCGAACGCAGCATCTACGGGACATGTATTGACTGAATAAAAGGAGAGCTGTTCAAAAAGAAATGCTGGGTCTTTGAGGTTTGCTTTGAAGCCTGGGATGTGACTTCCTAACTGGAGAGGGGTTGACAAACAAGGAACTCTGGATATTGGCTCTGTATATATAATTCTACAGTATGGTTGATAGATCTAATGACATCAAGGCGAAAAAACATCAATTAAAGGGAATGAATGAAGGCATTACAACAAGTTGTTTCAGATAATTGTACATTGTAATTATGGAAACAATTGTGTAACATAATGTGATCTTTAATTTGCTGTATTAATGGCAGTGTCTTGATTATATTGCATTTAAAGTTGGTTGTCAGCGTCCAGAAGGTCGTCTGTGAGCAGAATTAGTGTTTTTAAACCATACTGTGGCTATTACAGGCTACTCTGTCAATGAAACTGTTCATGCACTTAATTAAGTAATCTGTGACTACTATGCATATTCATTCGATTAACAGATTTACATGCGTGTGTGAAAATCACTGGACCATGTTACTTCCAACTGTTTACATTTATTGATGAAAATGGAACCTGAATCTGAGCCAACTGACCCATGCATAGGACAACTTCAATTTTTCCAAAAGAATCAAAGAGAAATTAAAGGTCATTGAATGTAATCTCATGGATGTATATGAATGTTGACTTCCCTTGACACTTGGAGATAATATTGAGTTTGGACGTTTGTCTTCTGTACAGGATCCTAATCTGGCTCAGAGTGAGTGAACAAAGCTTCTCAAATAACACAATTAATGTTTGCTTACCCGTTGGTAAATTAAAAAATCAATATTTAAAAATGAAATTGACATGTGTACACTATTGATTCAATTCAAATTATTGTGAGTATCTTGCACTGTGTTTTTAAGGGAAGTATCATTTAATCCTTGACTATATGGGTGGGATGGATTTTTGTTGATTCCCAGTAAAGATGCATTACTGGTTATCAACATTTTTGACATTTGAGGATAGGCCAAAGATTATTTGCCATGCATGCAGAAAAATTAATAGTACATAATGTCTTGCATTTGTAGACATTATTTTTATTTTCTGCTTCTTTTCTTAAGTTAGTGTGCTGCATTTACTTTCTTAGGGTATACTTTCTGAGCAAGCACTGGCCTTCATGTTCAAGAATAGTAGAAGAAGATTCGGCTGAGGACGGCTCATATCACGGATCAACAGTTGACAGTATGATCCAACAGCAAACAAAGCCATGAGTTCCCTCTTGGAATGCCACGTTGTAAGGTGTGGCACAAGCCAAGCTGTGTCATTGCTGATTAGTGTCTCCTCCAGTTTGTCTCTGGGGTGTTTGAGCAACCTCCACCCTTTTGTCTATGTCAAAATAACGCATGACAGCAGCGTGTGTTGTGAATGTTCACAAGCTGAGAACCAGTTAGGTGAGTCTTACCATGGTGGGAACCATAGGTGGGAACACATAGCACACTGCTTCAAGAGTTG